ATAAACTCTAGGAATTTCCTTCTCCCAAGTCTTTGAAGAAGCAAAGATGGCTTCTCTTCTCTTACAAAATGGTTTCTCCATGGTCTTGGCCAAGGGCAGAAGCTATGACAATTGACTGACGCCCTTTCCTGCCCTGGGAGATTATGAACTTCAGTGGGAGGGAAGAAGTCATACTGAAGTATGGCTGGCTGAGTGAAGCAAGAGGAAAATATGTAGAGGTGTGAATCCATCTTGAGCATCATCTTGCAGGAATGGGAAGGACCAACTGAAAAGATTAATCATTCAAGTTGAAGAATTTTAAGAGAATTTGTTTCACAGTTTTAACCTGCTGCTGTGGAGAACCTGCAGGGGCACTATTTTTCCAAGTCTAACACTGTCTTAGCAGGTTGGGAGGCTGACTTATGAAGTATTTACCAAGTACCCATTTATACCAGAGAAACCAACCAGGAATAGAAATTCAGATACCTTGTTTAGAATTTAAGCTACATATTAATAATTGTTATGAAGACTGCAGCACCACGGAAAAATGTTTATGATGTGTTATGTGAAAACAGCAGGACCCAAAGTTGAATTTCTCCCCAATTACAACCCTGCAAAAAAAGATATGGCAGAAAAGGCTGGAAGAAATACAAATGAAATGGTGATACAGATTATGTTAGCAAGGTTAAGATTGTGAATGATTAATCTTTTTCTATTTTTCAAAATTTCTTTGAAGTGGTTATTTACTTAAATGTGTTCAAATGTGAAATTTAAGCTAGTGCAACAGTCAAGGCAGTGGCGAGCCCACTCGTTTGCTCACAGGACGCACAGTGATGGGTACCTCGTCAGTCTTAGAAGTAAGCAGATCAAGTTGAGAGAAAGCTGATGTAGCTTTTCCATGAAGATGGAGTTAGCATCTCCAAAAAGAAAGAAAAAGAATAAAAGCCTGAGAAACCTTCTCTTTCTAGGGAAGAGAAAGAAACATACATTGAGGAAGAACATTCCTCCACCAGTATAGGCCTAAATACTAGCATTTCAGACTCTACTGGCAGGTGGGGTGAGCTAGAGGGAGAGGTGGATCCCACTAACAGTTCTGGCCCCTCTGGACTCTCCCCAGGTGACATTCGTTTCTCAGTCACCTTTACAAGTATGTTATCTCCTTAACAGAAAGGCAGGACCCATTCTGAAAGAATAAAACAGTTAATTTGAGGAGGGATCAGGATTGCAGGAAAAGAAAGAGGTAAATGATTATCTTGTTAGATTGTTTTGTGTTTTTAAAAGAAAGTGCAAATAACTGTATTATTACTAAAACATGGTTAACAATAATGGAAACTATTAATAATAATGGACTGACAATTGCGTCCTCATAGTTAAATGGATTAAAAAACTAACCCAATCCATCCCTGCCCTTTTGCGCTTTAGCAAAGCTGTGCCATGCCTTCTCTAGATTGCGAGGCAGCCATTACAGATTGTAAAGATAAATCCTGGAGCTTCTGTTGGTCTGAAAGGTAATCTTAACAACAGGATTTTGAAGTGGGAGACAAATGAAAAGGCAGGAAAGGATCTTCCTGAAACTAAGAACTCTAGGAAGGAGCTTGACAAGGGTTTTCTGAAAAGCAAGGTTCTCCTTATCAGTGATGGACTAATAAAAAATAATTTTAAAAATTATTAAAAAAATAATAAAAAAAGCTAATCACTGATTAGCTAGAGTCTTAAAAGAAGAGAAAAGGAAAAAAGTATCCTTTAGCTGCAATTTTATTGATTAAACACAACTTCTGCTTGGCCAAAGAGATCTATAATTATAGCTACTTGTGAGGTTTTGAAAGGAGATCATCACAAATTACTCAGATTACTTTCTGGTCACCTGAGTTCAATGTGCTGTATATACTGGATCTAAAAAAGGTCTACATCTTTTTGCAGCATTTCGCACTAATGTCTATGTCTTTTACTCTAAGTTTGTAGGTGTTACATCCTGGGCTATAGCAATAACATGTCATAATGAGATAAAGTCTCAAACGTTGGAGAATGAGACCTGGACCAGGGAAACAATGTCACTGATAACTGATTTTTAGGTGTGACTAGATAACACACTATACAAGCACGAAAACATGAAGAGGCTGTGGTGTTATCAAGTAAAACTTAAAACAAAGTTTAATGATAGTCATAATCCTTATCTTCTTTCAATGTGACTAATCATGAAAGGCAAATAGCTCATTATGTAATCAATATTTAATTGATATTGTTTTTTATGCCAGAAAACAGCTTTTCTAAGTTGGAGAATTTAAAAGAAGAAGACTTAGTGGGCAGCATATTGCTTTGTAGTTTCCGGGGAAATATAATTTAAATGTTTAGAAAAGAATGTCCTAAGGGTGGGACTAAGAGAGAGAGGTGTCAGACAGAAGGAGGGATAGTCGGAGAAGAAGCACAGAGACAGAACAGACGTGGGAAGCTGCAGTCCGTACAATGCAATGCTGTGGGGAAGTCTGCAGGCAGGGCACGGCTCGCAGGTGTCACAGTGAGGCCGTCATCTCTGGACTCTAAGAAGGCCGTCTCAGTGGAGCAGTGCAGCGAGAGACCTGAGAGATTTCTTGAACCAGTATTCTTTGAGTGTCTAAAGCACTGGTACTCGTCTAGATGGTGGGGACCTGGTAGTGAACAACCCTTTGAAAGGGTTAAGGAGTTAGCACACTGTAAGAAGGTGTGTTGGTAAAGCTGGGAGGAAAAAGTAGAGGTCGAGGATAAACAGGCAGAGTGAGGAATTTCATTTCAGGAAAGAGAGAACTGGGCACATTCAGAGGCAGCAGAGGAGACACTGAAGATTCGAGAATAGAGACACAAAGGAGATAGGAGGCTGCAGGCTCCAGATCTTTGGAAAGGAGGAAAAAGTCTTATTTGGAAAGAGAAGCAAAGGAAGAGAGAAAGAGGTGCCATCTGGAAAGACTCAGGTGGGGAGGAGGGGTGCGAGGGCAAGTCAGTCAGAGGTGGTCCTCTCAGCTGGCTTCTGCATGTGCAAATGGGGGCTAATACCCCCAGAGAGTGGTTGTGGGGTTTGAACAAGACATGTAGTTAAGGCCCTTAGCACAGGGCCTGGCATACACACAGATCTCACTAACGCAGCCTTTATTATACTTAACAAAGAAAAAACTGAGAGGGAGGAGCGTGCAGGTGGGTTCCGGTGCCTGAAGTGAGCAATGTTTGGAGGAGCCAACTCACAAGTTTGGGGGGATCAGATGTAGGGAAGCAGGACAACGGCTAATGAATGAATTCGTCCCCTTAGCAAGAAACTGGAGATGGGGGGGGTGGGCAATGGACTGAAGGAGGAGAGAGTTTAAGGACACTAACTCTACCTAGTCAGTACCTCCTCTGACTGTACCCAGGCAGTAGGCTGAGCAGTGTGATTAAGCATGTCTTGATGCCCCAAATTTCTCCCTAGAGATTGTCTGAAATTATAAGAACTTAATATGAGTTAGTAAATAAATATCCCTGAAGAAGGGGCAAGAAAGGCTATCAGTATTTAATACTTAAGGGTGAATTAGCCAACGTGTTAGGTTTAACAAAACCTTGCCAAGGTGCTGAGGAAGTGAGAACTCTGCTAAGTAAGCCCTGAGGAGAGACGCAAGGTGGAGGCAGAGCTCTGTCACTCAACAGGGAGGGCGGGGCTGCTGCTCCCAGGGAGCCAGGAGGGCAAGGCACAGGAGAGGGAATCAAGGAAGGCAGCTGGGAAGATGAAAGGGAGGTAGGAAAGGTGGGTGTTGAAACAGAAGAGTCCAGGATTACATGTCATACAAAGGAGAGCTGGGAATACTTTAGGTCACCTGTGAGGTGGCTCAGCAAGAAGTCTGCCATTAAGTTTTACGAATTCTTTCACAGCCTCTCTCTGGGTTTTACCTTCCCTCCTCTCTGAAACTCGCATAGCATCTCTGTTATCTAGAGAGTCAGAAATGGCAAACTTTTAGAAAATAAAACAAAGCTGGAAGGGACTTCATACCTTCTCTTGTTTAACCTTATTTTACAGAGGAGGAAATTGAGGCTCAGAAGTGACTTGCTCAAGGTCACACAAGAAACCAGCTGTTCAACCAGAACTAGAAGAGCCCTAGGATCCTGCCCTGTGCCCTGTAGTACCCAACCACCTGCTTAATAAAACCTCATCTCGCTTAAGCCCCTGCACATCCAGAGAACACAAAGCACAATTCCTCCTTTGTGGAAGTTAATGATTAAAACCTAGTCTGATCTAAAGCATCGAACCATAGTTACTAATTAAGCCACTTTCTGTGAGAAAAGACATTTCAAACAGAAGAGTGTTTTCTTAAGCTAAATCTATAGGCCTTTGAATTATAGTAGCATAAGCTGTACAGTTACAATATTTCAAATATACTTAAAAATATTTCATAATACAATACTTTAAACTCTGTAGTTTGTATTTTCTCTTCATTGCATGCCACATGCTGAGTCCTGATAAAATGGTTTGTAACTTTTGAGGGGAGGAATTTAACTAAAATAACTTCACTTGGTGTTTGAGTGAACGAGGTAATAAAATCTGTTTGCTGTGTTCGCTGTCTCCAGATAGGGCTGTAATTACACCACATAAGGAAGAAAGGTAGCTGAGTCTCAATCTAGATCATTTATGTAAACTCAGCCTTCTTGTCAACGGTGTTCTCATATTACATGCATGCAAACCGCAGAAATCATCTCCTGTGAACCACATGGAGACAGTGTCCAATTGCAAGCCTGTGAGATTGCTTATATTTTTTCTGTAATTGGATGTCTGTGGTTCAAGACCAAAATCTGACATTCTGAGGTTAAAAAAAAAAATCACCAATGAATTCCCCAGTACAATTATACATCTGAAACTTGTAAAAATGAAAGGTATTCTCTACACCAAATTATTACAAATGAATACATTTTACTTGAAATAAGCATCTTGTTCAGCTTAAAAAAAAAAAGGTTTGGTTCTTTGAAATATGTTTGAAAAAAATTTGGTCTTCAAGAAAGAAAAACAGGCAATTCCTACTACAACCAAGTTAACATTTGATAACATTTTAATCTCCTACTTCAAATATTTGGCATTATTTTTTCAGCAATTTTTCCAAAAAATTCTTACAAAACCCATAGAGCACAAAGTATATTTATACTGTATCTATAAATACAGAGACACAATTGCGAAAAGACAAAGCATATTTTTTCCTTAATCACTGAACTACTCTCTGTTATGACAAATTGGTCACTAGTTTTTGCTTTGACAGTCCTCCCTTACTGGCATTGACAGTGTTTCTCTAGACACCTGCAGCTTCCAGCTTGCTCTGTCCTCTCTAGAAGGAAAACCACAGGCCACCGCCCTGGCGCCATCCCTGCTCGGTCCAATCAATAAGGACTTATTTCCTGTCCATTTGCTGAGGTCACAGGAGCGAATCTCATTAATTATTTCTGCTACTGCAGCCTCAAGTGTGCTTCTGGCGTGACAAGTGAAAACTGCTTGACATTTTTTTTCTTCTAATTTTGTTTGTAGCAGTTCCCAAAAGAAGGCAGTCTTCATTTAGCAATGTAATAAAGGTAAGGAAAAAAAGTGTATGTTTTTAAAGTCATTAACACATTTACATATTTCATCATGAAAGCTCTCCCCATCACCTCATTCCCCAGTTTTTTCAGCTGACGAACAATAGTGTCTTTTTAATTTGGTGTCACGAAAATCTGGTCACAGCAAACACAATGTTTTCTAAAGCAGATCTGGCCTCCGAGGGAGGAAAGCTCTCCAGGGCCTCCAGTGCCTTGTTTCCATGGTAATGACACAGGTCAATAGCTGAAGTCACACCTTTGCCAGCTTTGATTGTTTCTCGCAACTGTTAAGAAACAAATGCACAATAAAAGTCAGTTGTTAAGGTACCACAATTAAATTGGGGAGGGGAGGTGGAAAACAAAGGGAGAAAACAGTATAGATTCACTTGTTTCTGCTACCTTCTTTTGAGGTAAAGAGGACATCATTCCCCCATGATCTCGAGGCACTAACACTCCCTAAGGCTGCTCGGTGTCTGTGCTCCAGGGCAGCACAACAGGCTCCAATCAGCCTCATTACACCTCCTCCCGACTCCCACCCCTTGATATCTTGAAATGTGCCCTGTGAGGGGATGGCAGTAATGAAGGTGGAGGGCATTTACATCTCTGGCATCTTGAATTCAGCAGCCTGAAATTCTTATGTAAGGAAGGCTTCATTAACATCCTAGTTAATAACTAATCTGTTTTACATGGTGTGTTGACACAGTGGTCCATATGAAAATTCATGAAAGCACATAGTGTTAGTTCTGAATGCTACATTTTTCAAACTAAAAGACTTAATTTGACTGGGAAGAATGAACTAAAACACTCTTTGTGAAGAATAAAGTAAACTCTCGCCAACAAATGAAGTTGATTGCCAATCCCTCTCTTTGACGGGTTTCCCTCTCTCTCTCTGACGGCGGAAAGAAACAATAAAATGGTTTGACTTTAGAGCTGAAAAAGATTTATAACAGTTTGATCCGTCTGCTTCCCCTGCCCTGATTCCATCTTCTCTTAGTGAATACCTCAAATGTCTGCCTAACTCCCTAAAGCAGAGACCTGGGAGTCCTCCTTCATCCCTTGTGTCCAGTCAGACACCATGGCAGTACTGTTGTTGCTCACCCATGACTGAACTTTCTGGCCCCCAGAGATTGGCTGAGGCCAAGCAACAAGTTCTAGTCCACAAATGATGCATGTCACTTCTGGGCTGCAGCATTTAACTGTCCATGTGAGTCACTGCGGGGCTTTCCCTCTGGCACATCAACCAGCCACATCAGAGAAGCTCCTCAGCCTGGATCCTAGAGCGACCACAATGAGCACCACCGGGCCTCTCCAACCTGCACGGGACATGTAGTGTGGGCATGAAACACATCTTTGTTGTTTGAAGACAGATTGTGTGGTTGTCTGTAGCCATCCTGACTGATGGACACTAAGTCCTAGCCATTCTCTCTCCTTTAGAGCTCTTGAATTCATCCTCCGCTCTTCATTCCCGTTGCCACTACATTAGTTCATGCTATCATCATCCCTCGCTTGGATTGTTTTTTGCAATCACCTCCTAAACAGTCTTCCCACCACCAGTTCTGTGCCCCTGGACTCCATCCGTCATGCTGCTAAGGAGATCTTTATAAAATGCAAATGTGATTTTGCTTAAAACCCTTCACTGCCTTCCAACAGCCTTAAGAAAAAAGTCCGAGCTCTTTCATGAGGCATTAAAGTCCCTTCCCAATCTACCTCTTGTCTAGCTTTTTTTTTGTTTCCGCTTTCCCCTTTTCATCATGTATTTAGGGAAACTACTTGCAGATCTCATGTCCCCTAACACTTTCCCTCCCGCCCCCCATCAAGCTCCCCAAATTCCACTTGGGTTGAATGCACCCAGCTAGGATGACAGTCCTAAGGGGCCAGGTACCACTCTTTCTCTGGGCTCCTGGAGTACCCTGTGCATATCTGGAGTACAGCATTATTATCTAGTGTTGTATTTTAATTCTCCATTCTCTTATCTATCTCTTCATTAGACTTTAAGCTACGGCATAATGCATGAAACATACAGGAATAAAAGCAATAACCTGCTTTATTCCTCTAATCATAAAAATGAGAGAACAGAGGTCCAGAGAAGCTCATCAGGTCACCCAAGACCACAGAGGCACAGTGGCAAAGCTGCAACCAGAAGCCAGGTTTTCTAATACCCAGTCCAGAGGCACTTAATACTATACTCCCCCAGACTCCCAGCACTCCACAGATACTTCCATGTTGCACATGGACTTTGGGACTATTTCAGCAGAGGGTTCCCTGGTCTCTTGCCAATTGCTGAATGCATGAAGGCACTAAAATCGTGCTGGGTACCAGAGGCAGCCAGATTCAAACTCCCATCTTAGTTTTATAATCTTAGGGAAGCCATTTAACTGCTCTGAGTTCTAAATGGGGATAATATCAGTCCCTTGCAGGACTGTTGGGGGGCCTATATGATACAGCATAGAGTGCTCGACGGTGTCTAAAACACTACAGCTATTCCGAATGACTGAATTCTTCTTCCTCCTCAGGCCCCTAGTCATTGCCAAGAAAGCCACCTCACTTACCAAGATTAAGTCTATTTTAGCTTGATGTACAACAACCTCATAGGTAGCTGGACTTGGATCAGACCAGCCTTAAAGATTTGGAAAAAAGAGAAAGAACATACCACCTATTTTCATTATCTTTAATTCCCCCAAATCTAAATTAGACAGCCCAACATTCTCTATTTTAAACTTCTAGGTTGGTACCTGCAGTCATGTAGATATCTGCATGACTGGGTTTCAATTTACAAGTATTTATTGAGCACCTATTATGTGTAAAGAGTACAACAATCCTTCTCCGCTTTACGGATCAGGAAGTAATTAAGGGTATACAGTGAAAAGCAGCAAAACCAAGTTACAAATGTAGGACTACAGATGGTCAGAGAAATGAGAGGTCAACTTTAATTAAAATAGATTCAAGAAGGCCTTACAGAGTAAGTGGGATTTGAGCCATATCTTGGAATGTCGATAAGTAGTTATGTGGTTAGGGGTAACAAGGTAATTGTAGGGAAGGGGAGTAGCTTGAGCAAGGGCACAGAGGAGACCAGAGTGCAGTGTCCAGGGAATAAAAACAGATCAGTGTGACGCAGCTTGCTGCAGTAGGTGTTAGGGGATCAGGAGGGCTCTGAAAACCAGGCTAAGAAACCTGAACTTTATTACAAATTTTTTTTTTTTATTATGAAATATTTTTAAAGTACAGAAAAGTTGAAAGACTGGCACAGGAGTCAGCAAACTATAGCCCAGGTCAAATATGGCCCCCTGTTTTTATAAATAAAGTTTTGTTGGAACACAGCCATGCCCATTCATTGAAGTATTGTCTACGGCTGCTTTTGTGCTATAACGGCAGAGCTGCGGAATTGAGTAGCTGCCAGACACTGTACGGCCTGCAAAGCCTAAAATATTTACACTTTGGCCTTTATAGAAAAAGTCTGCTGACTCCTAGACCACAACAATGAATGCTCACAAACCCTCTACCCAGATTCAAAAGTTGTTAATATTTTGCCATTTCTATTCTTTCTACTCAAATGTGTGTATTTTCTGAACCATTTGAAAGTAAGCTGTGGGTAGTGGTATGCTGGCAAATTAGCTCTCCTAGGGAGGAAAAAAGTACTATTTGTAGCATTTGCAGATTTTTGTGGTATAAATACTCCTATCATAGCTGATTTCAAGCTACCAAGGGCTGTGGAATCATAAAATTCTTGAATATTTAACAATAGGCTCTGAGTTGGTAGGACCTGGCTTGGACATACCAAGGGCTGCAGGATGCTTCACTCTTGTTTTGACATGCATCTCTGCAGATAAGAACATTTGCCTACATAAGCAGAGACTATTATCAGAGCTAGGAAAGTTAACAGTAATTCTCTGTTATTATCTAATATCTAATCTATGTGCAAATTTTCACAATTGGCTCCAAAATGTCTTTTTTGGCCTTTTTTCCCCCATACCATGATGCATCCTGGTTCACACATTGCAGTCCTTTGTTATGACACTTCAATCTTTTCTTCCCCCCATGATATTGCCATTTTGAAAGGAGCAGGCTGTGTTGTACAATGTTCTATGTTCCACATTTCTCTGATTGCTTTATTTAGTTTGTTACTCTATAAACTTTATTCAGTTAGGCTCAACTGAATATCCAATGGTGATTTATGTAGTATTTAATCCTACAATGAAGAGTAATTCAGATTAGGGCAAAACAGTACCCAGGAAGACATCCCTGAAAGTTACTCAAGCCCTAAAAGAGTTAATTTCTCTCATCCAATGACTACTGTGCTTCCAGTTAATACTCAAATCTGCTCTCCACAGAGTGGGCTCATGGGGCTTTGTATACCAAGGGACCTGATAGCTTCCATGTGTAAAATGCCCATTCATGACCCACCAGTAATCTAGTCCTTCATGGAAGGTATTATCCCTCACAGACATCTCTGTACACTTTCACCAGTGAAACAAACTATTGGCTCAAAGGAAATCCTTTAGATATAATTAATAGACCACAAATGAGACTCACTTTTACTATAAATTAGAATATGAAATGGGTCTATCCTGACAAAACAATCTTGTCCTTTGTAAATAAATGTGACAAAAGACGTATTAAGCTGGAATTCCTAAACTTGGCTGACCATAAAATTCACCTGGGGAACTTTAATTAATTAATTTATTTATTTACTTATTTTTTGTGAGGAAGATCAGCCCTGGGCTAACATCTGATGCCAATTGTCCTCTTTTTGCTGATGAAGACTGGCCCTGGGCTAACATCCATGCCCATCTTCCTCCACTTTATATGGGACGCCGCCACAGCATGCCCTGACAGGCAGTGTGTCAGTGCGCACCGGGATCCGAACCTGCGAACCCCGTGCCACCAAAGCGGAGTGTGTGCACTTAACCACTATGCCACTGGGCCGGCCCCCTGGGGAACTTTAAAATGCAGATCCTAGGCCCCATTCCTGGAGATGGATTCAGTAAGGCCTAAAAAATGGTTCTTAGGTCATTCCAATGATTAGCCAGATTTGGGAGTATCTCACTCTCTGGGGCGTGTATTTTGAGTTACTGTATTTCAAAATAGTTGTGTTGGGTTTATGCCATTTTAACCACACTTCCAACTGGTTGTCTTTGCAATGATCAAATTCAATTCAATAAGCATTTATTGGGCCCCTATATGGGCTAGGCATATAGTAGGGGCTGGAGATCCAGATAGAAACAGAGTTGCTGCCTCCCAGGACCACCTGTTAGAGGAGCCATCATAGGGCTGTAGAACCAGAGAG